TGTTAGATTTATCAAAGTGGCTGATGTACGATTTTCATTATAATTTTGTTAAAAATCAGTGGCCGGCTAGTAGATTATTGTTTACTGATACTGATTCGCTCGTATATGAAATCGAATGTGAGGACATCTATCAGGATATGCATGATAATAGATATCTGTTTGATCTTTCCGATTACCCACGTGACAGTAAATTTCATGACGACACAAATAAAAAGGTTATTGGTAAGTTCAAAGATGAAATGAACTCGAGCGCTATCAAATACTTTATCGGATTACGTAGTAAAATGTATGCCGTATTGTTAGACAATAATAAAATAACAAAAAAAGCAAAAGGTCTGCCTCGTGATTTTGTTAAAAAGTTTATAAAATTTGATGACTACAAGTACGCGCTTGATGGCGGTGTTAGTTTTATAAGAGCTATGTCAATTCGGACAAATCATCATAAGCTCGAAACAGATGTCCTTATCAAACGCGGTTTGAGCAATTTTGATGATAAACGTTATTGCGAAAATGGGGTAGATACATTTGCAATTGGGTATTGTCATGATGATAGAGATATACTTGACATTATCTTTGCAAACTAAAATTTTATCTAAACTTTAAAAATAATGTTTGAAAATTTGACAGTAACAAATAGCTACAGTAGCAAAATCAAATATCTAATGATGGACGGCAAACCATTGACAGTTGAAATTAATAATGAAACATCAGGCATATGCTTTAGTGGTACCCGTGACAAGTTAAAACTTTCGCTCATCAGATCTGATAACAGCGAGTATTTTAATTATCTCGAACAATTGTATCAAAAGTTGCTAGCGGAATTTAAAAACTTTCACTGTCCGATTAGTCAGCAAAAATACACCAAACTTACAATTGATCTTGATCGGTCAAAGTTGTATTTTATCGACAAAAAATACCCTCTTAACAAATCACAAATAAAAGATTTGTTTGAGTCCCGTCGTTATGTGAGCGGTAAAATAAAGTTTAGCCTCTATCACCATGATAATGAAATATTTTTGATATCTACAGTTGAGACATTAACAGTTGGTAATGAGGTATAATACCACTTACCTTACTGGAATTCTAATGCGTAATTTAGTCCACAATCGCCACGCTCTGCTAAATCGTAATGATTTGGAAGATTGAGTCTGACACATCATTTTGCTTATTCTGGAAGATCACTTAATTAAATTTTACCTGTTACCTAGGTATTTTGCAACAGGTGTTCTATTGTATTTGTTTGGAGGTCTGGAGGGGTTGTTGAGCTCGAATTCTTAACGCAATTATTGATTGCAACAGGTGTTCTATTACGTTACCTAGGTATTTTGTATTTGTTGAGCTCGGATTCTTAACGCAATTATTGATTGCAATAGGTTTTCTATTACGTTACCTAGGTATTTTGTATTTGTTTGGAGGTCTGGAGGGGGTTGTTGAGCTCGGATTCTTACTTTCATCTACTACTCACAATTATCAGCAGTTACGAAAGATGCGCCTCAACAAGTGTAGATTTGGGAGGCATAGCCTTCAGGAATCACGGTGCTAATTCAGTTCCCATAGTAAACCTATGCAAACACCATTATATTAAAAATTCGACAACTTAAAATTTTAACTGCTCATGACCAAACCTATATTTATCAATATAGATGAAACCTGGAAGTCAGCTTCTGTGCAGAGGAAAGGATATGAGCCGCGGCATTTTCTGGACCTGCATATGTTTGAAACATGTGCTTTCAATTCCGCACCAAAGAGTCAGATGCTAATTTTAGTATTGAGTGTTCCCAACTCAAGACTAATAAAGGAATGAAATTTCATCAATAAATCAATGTCTCTACTTTTATTAATTTTCAATTAAGATAAGGTCTCAAAAGAGTTATTTTCCTAAAACATAGCTTACATTATTGACCAATCCTGGTTAGCCAAGCCCGTATATACTCTATTTCATGTTCACCCATTTACAGGCTGGTTCCCATTTTTCAATACAATTGGTACCCTGTGTCCTTCCCGTTTGGGAGATTGGGCAGTATGGCTGAAGAGTGTGTGCTATCGATTTGATTCACTTTCGAATTTTAGTAAGCTTCATTTCCATTAGCTTATTCAAAGATCACCAGAACATGATGATCCCTAAGCGGTCGCTGTCACATCTTCACATAGGCAAGTGGAGATCTGATTTTAATCAAATTGTATAAGACGCCAGAGTGCCATTTTTTCTAATGTTGCCCGAAAGTTAACTCCCATAGACCCCCCCCAGTGTTATTATTGCAATAGCGGCATAGTGTTTGTTTCCCATTGTCGTCATCATACCATTTCTATCATGCCGTATTTATGTTAATTCGCATCGAGCCATAAGTGACATTTTTGCTCCTCATGTGACATATCCTTGTTAAATTCCCGAGAGTCATTACTTTATTAAATTCTCGTTAGAAGCCATATTGCCCGGTGTATATTAAACTAGTTAGAGGCTAGAGTGACAAATTCATGCTGCAGGTTTAAGTGGCATACTCGGGTGCTAATAGTCATTATTACACTTTTCACCATTCAGTTTCCCACCACAATATAGAGGACCTAGAAGGAAGTCTATGACTTCAGGCTTTACTTGTCGCCAAATGAGACTGAAAGGAATTGTTTTCTCTCTATGGGAGGATGGGGGCGGGGAGCGCCCAAATTAGAGCTCGCCTAGAGCGCCAAAATCTCGTGGGCTGGCACTGTCGTCATTTAACACTTTCTGGCTTTGTAAACTTCAACCAAATTCGAAAGAATTAAATGGCTGCAATAGCATTGTGTCATTTTTGAGATTACCTTTTAAAGTTTGATTAGTCGAAAATTTTCATCATTGTGGTACCTTTATTTTGTTTTAATCGTTTCAGTATTCATCACAGTGATTTTTGTTTCACTGTACCATTTCCTAGCTAGATCATGAACATATTCTTTTTTTTAAAAAAAAAAACAAGGTTTACATATCTATTGATTTTTTAATGCAGGTCATATTTTTCTCTGATTTTCATTTTTAACTTTTCATTGTATCCAGTTTTTAAATATTTACAAGGTGTTAATATAAATTCAATTTGATTTCAGGGATACTAGTAAACTGACTTCATTTTGGTTTTCATTCATCTGTCATTATTTTGTAAATTTAAATGGAAAATGGCCAATACAAAATCAAAGACGAAATGGTTAAAAATTTACTTTACCAAAACTGAAAGATCCATCAGAAGTAGAACTTGGCAGAAAACTTGTTAAGAGTTTACAGGAATAAAATTTAGCTAATGTTAAAAAAATTATACGGAAAAGATAGAATAGACGAAACAAGAAAAAAGTTACCAAGAGAAAAGTACTTAAAAGATATACTGACTGATGGGTGTTGAATCAGTTGTAATTGCCAATGTGGTATATATTATAATGAGGGATTTTTACTGTATGGAACTAGCTACAACATCTGATACACAACATGTGAATAAGGAAAAATTTCACTACCAATAAAACTGCACACTCTTAAATGAGTGAGACAAACAACTTAGTTAAGTCCATAATATAAGAGTTCGCTCGAATCGGTACTTTCTCTGCTTTATCTATTAAGTAAAGAATGAAACATCGGATGTACCTGGTTTCCATTGAGAACTGTTTTCTAAACTACTTTCTTTCAAATCGACGAAGATTGCGGCAGAACGAGACAAAATCACAATCTGACTAATTTTGACATTTCCTATCATAGTGCAATCTGCTAGAGGCTAATCACCTAACCGATCAATTTGTGTAACCCTACAACTACTGAATACCAAGGTAAATTTAGAATGTGACAAAAATGCCCGAGCAATGAACCTGATCAGCATTCGTTAAACACCGATAGATCCTTATATTATGCCCGGTACTAAAATTTCATGTTGGTTAGTGAGATTACATCTGACCGCCTACAGATTCGATATACTTCCCGATACAGTTATATGAAATCCTAAATATAAACCACCCTCTAAGCCCAAGTCGTATGTTTTATACTAATCGATGGCGAAGAATGCCGTTTGTACCACATATATATTTAGCTAAATGTATAACTTTCAGATTACAAAAGATCAATGGGATTAAGAATCACAGGAGTCTGCAGTTTTATCAATAAAGCATGACGAAATTTCTGACTACGTGAAATCACCGTAACTATTATAAAATAATTTATAATACAGTTAGGGTGATTTCATGTAGTCAGAAATTTGTGTTTGTTTTATCCCTGTGCCTCCTTTGTCCTACTATAGTAGGATGATGATGATGATGATGATGATGATGATGATGATGATGATGATGATGTGTGTGTGTGTGTGTGTGTGTGTGTGTGTGTGTGTGTGTGTGTGTGTGTGATCTCAAGAGAATTAGTTCACTTATAGCACTGATGTCAGAAATCAACTCTTTTGAAGTAATAAGAAAAACAGATGCTTACTCTGTGTGTGTGTGTGTGTGTGTGTGTGTGTGTTTTACATACATGCACACACGCTTATGCCGATAAATTAGTACCTCACCTGTGCTAATATTAATTTTCGGGTTAAAATCAAAATTGTCAAGGGTGAAGGGTTGATTTATCGGCCTATTACATGCCCAGACACACGCACGCAAACGAGTTCGCTTGATACTACGAGGTCTTCTGTCTGCGAGCATTGGAGTCTCGGCTCGGTCAGTGTGGGTATGTCAATGTTTTCGGGAAAATGTACACAGGTAGAAAATGAATATCGCCGAGGTCACTAGAGTTAAATTCCTACAATAGCGTCAAATACTCATGTTTTCCGAAGTGAAATTATTTTGATAAACATAGCAGACATATCAAACATAAGTTATTTTTTTGTTCTGTATGTCTGATTGACGAAAATTACTTACCGCATAAAGAGTTTCTGAAAGATCGTGTAATTCATTGTTATTCCAAATCCCATCGAAACAAAACTGTTTTAAGAGTTGATCTGAGACTTTCTAGGAGAAAGGCGAACATTAAATATGTAAATACCAATTAGTTTTAGACCACTCCTGTGGCCTAAGTGGTTATAGCGACTGCCTCAAATGTGGAAGGTCGCGGGTTCGAACCCCGGTCGAATCTTACCAAGATTCATAAGACTTATCGCTTGGCGCTCAGCATTAAGAAATTAGTCTTAAGACTGGTTGGCCTGGTGTCAGAATAATGTGACTGTATATGAATTGTTTAAGAAATAATATTCAAGCACATGACCTCTATAACGTAATGAGAGATTCATATTATCTTAAACACAGCATAACTCTATAACCAAGCTTAATTTTAATGTAAAATTTAAATTTGGGAAGCGTATCGGTCTGTAATTAAGAATAAATGAGTATTTATATTTGGTTAGTTTTCTAATCTTATTTGTGATCATTTTCCTGGAATGGCTTTTGTGAAATTGCTTGCTGGTAACTTCACCCAGGTCGGTGATTCTTACCGGTTTTTTTTCTGGTTCTATATATTTGCTGCCGTGTATAGATGCTTCATGACAAGGTTACTAGCAGACTATATTCTTATCGTTTAACCTAGACGATAGACAACCTGGCAGTTTCTCCTATGTGCGACCACCACATTTTTCCATTTTGAAAAATACACGCTAAAGCAAAATCGACTTATAAATTTGGAATATAGAAACTAACAGAAAGCTTTATTTTCGTTCTGTTTATTTATGTATTTTTGTTTTGTAAAAGTATCTTGAGATTCAACGAATTTATTTCAACATCCAAACACCTCGTAAACTTAACTACTAATATTAGCATTATTCAGTAATTACATGTGCATTTCTCTTTCAAATTGTTATTATTTGGTTTGCCACAAAACTTTATTACGATGATAATTGCAGTCTGAATCATTCTTATAAACAAAATGTTTATCGGATTTCTGTGTGTATTATTCATACGTATTCATTTAAATGTCTACAATTTTTCCTTAGAATTCTATTTCATTGCTGGCATGTAGGTAGGTGAGGTTATTTAAACAGTATTTAACAACAAATTTTGTAATGAAGTTTAACTCGTAGACAAATTCGTTATATGCAGAGCGTTTGGGACTGGAATTTTGATTACAATTCGTAATATGATAAACTTACACAAATTGCGCCATTTTGAAAGACCAGTTAGAAGCGATTTTCGTTTTAAAATTTACGTTTAATTCAAATGATCTTTATTTTCAGCTTTGCGTTCTTGTTTAGTTGTATATAAGTACTGCGGTAATGTTCAAAGCGAACTAAATCCTTGTATCTACAGTAACTAGCCTTTATATAACATCGCGCGCGTGCGTAAGTAGTTGCTACGTGTCAGTGTGGCTCCTCACGCAAAACAACAAATACACTGCCTTTTTATGATGATTTATAAGAAATTAATCATTACGAATGACCTAAGGAGGAGCTATAACTCTAATGACCAACACTCAACTAAGAAGAAAAGAAATTAAATAAATGTCTTTTATATACATATGGCAGTAGCCCTCCCTCTTTCAAATATTAAAGGTCGGTATTGCAAAAGCAAGAAAATGAAATTAAATTAAGGAGCAGATTACATAATAAAGGCACATCAAATTTAATAGTTAAAGTCACTCCATTGTCAATTCGTTCAAATTGCTTTTGTTTTGTAACTTCTCAGTCTTTTCCGTTGGTTTGGCTTTCTAGCAAATTTTCGTTGGTTGAAACTGTTTTGTTGTGTATTGCATTTTTTTGCTGCAATTGTTCAGGAATTATAGGAAAAATTATTTGTGTTTATCCTCAGTTTTTGGTGCAAAAGGTAGGCCATATTGCTTTCCAGATGTAGTGCACATCTGAAATCTACGAACCAGAGGTCTCCTACTTGAAATTATAGCTGAACCAGTTCAGAGATTTGCTGTGGCTTCCAGACACTCTTGTTTTCTTTTTAGTATGTTGTTCTATGATTCGGCATTATTGTTTGCCCATAAGTCCTCGTTGGGATTTTTTCTTCTTGTTTCATTTACATTGCAACATAATTTATCTTTTACGTATCAGTCAGAATATTTAATGAATAGAGAGTGGTCACGAAAAATCTGCTTCAGTTCCTAGGATCCTCAATCAAAGACGTCGGAGCTGTCCACATTAATCAATCCGGCGTCGCCAACATTTTTTATCTATGACTGTTCTCTTCAAATTACCAATCAGACCAACTTTTCTTCGGAGCTGAAATTTAACGGAGTTTTGTTTGTTTGTTTGTTTTCATGTGCTCTGTACATTGCACCCGAGACACGTTTGGGAATTATATTTCCACAGCCCTGTTCAGGTCAGTTCTGCATCTGTACAAAATGATCTATATTTGTGTTGTCTTATTTCGACACTTTTGATGTTGTTCTTGATTTTGGCTGAAATTTGGGTTTGCAATGTTTTCTATCGCCTCAAAACTTGCGTCTTTGTGCAAAAGCACAGCCGAAAAAAATGGGACGTATATTGATGTTTTTTTTTTTTATTATACTATGGTTTCCGCATACAGTAGTTGTGAGACTATTCGTCCCGTGTTTTTTTTTCTTCTTTTCTTCTCTACATAATGTAAGCCTGTTATCTGGTTTTCTGGATGGCACTTTGTCTGTCTTATATTATACACTTTAAGAGCGCATGTGTCTCGCACATGCCATTTATTTCTAACGTCTCGCAGGCAATATTTTCCGAGTAAGTGTTTTGGTTTTGCTATTTTCTTTAATATTCTTTTCGATAGCTTGTGTTCCTTGCTTGTTGAAGGTTCTGTAGTCCATTTAAAGAGTCGTCTCGTTTTAAATTTGTAATATACTTTCCATGGTTTTTGAATTGAGCAATCTGTTTGATATTTTATCCATCGTTTGGAAATTTGTTCTCAAGTATGACCAATGGACTTACATTTTTTTTTATTTTTTTTAATTTTTTTTTTTAAAGCTTCTATCTAACTGTTATGAATAACCTACTACACTATGCCCAATGTTTGTTACTGACACAGGAAACGTATAAAAATACGCATATGTTCAGATTCATTTGAGATTTTCAGATATAAGTGGGTACATACGAGTAACATAAAGTGCTTATGTATGTATGTATGTATGTATGTATGTATGTATGTATGTATGTATGTATGTATGTATGTATGTATGTATGTATGTATGTATGTATGTATGTATGTATACATGCATACATGCATACATACATACATACATACATACATACATACATACATACATATACATATATTATATATATATATATATATGTGTGTGTATGTGTGTATATATATATATATATATATATATATATATATATATATATATATATATATATATATATATATTTCTGCACCCACATTTTATGAGATAAAATTGAGTTAATATATTTTTAAAGGTGGTTTGCGGTAGGTTTGTGGTGGTTTGCGGTGATTTGTAGTGGTTTGCGGTAAAAACAGACCAGCCTTTAGTTATCCGACTCGTAGCGGATAGGTCTCGAAGTCGAAACTCGGGGTCCCTCGGCTTGGCTTGTTAGGAGTTTCTTCTTAGATCTGTTATTTGTTGCAAATATTGTTAATAATAGCCGATATTACTTGCTGAAAATGAAAATCACGTTAACAACCCCCCCCCAACCAAATGTGTTTTTTTGTGTATTCAAATGCCGTCGATATTGTGTTCGGTAACTGCATACATAGTTTAGACGTAATCTCTACATGAAAACGAGGCTCATGTCAAACAGCTGATTAGCATACGAAAACGATGGCGCTCGGAATCAGACCAGGTGAGTGAAATTATGGATGGATACATATTAAATTTGTAAAGACATCCTGATTTTCCCAGAGAACTAAGCAGGTAATCATTGCCTGAGAGAAACGGGAAAAATTTTGTTCAGGATTATTGATTTGTTTACACCATATTCAGGAAGGAAAATGTCGTATGCTTCACTGTTGTTGTTTGTTTACAAAATGAATGAAAATGAGTGCATGACCCATATTGTCTGGTGCATAATTAGGTAAACATGAAATTAATGTATGCCATGATAGCCATATATTTTTGTTTATTTGAAAGTTTTAGAGTGAAAATTTTCAGTTGTGATATTTGTCTTCCTCACATGCAGATGTTCTAAAGCGCTAGCAGACGCTGCCTTTGAAACAACGAGTGACTTGCGATTAAAAACTGGAACATAAATAATATGGCGACATCCAATGAAATTCAATAATGAAAGTAGGTAATATTAAGTTAATGAGTAGATCATGGATTCTTTGATTTAGACGATTTGGAACAGTTAGCTATAGCCATTTTGATAAGTTTAAGTCGGCTTTTAATTGCAGTCTTGTATTGGCTTTGTGCCATAGATTGGAGCTATTGTCAATTTAGGCTGCAATTTTTCTGTTTTGGCAACAGAGGTAACTGTAATCTAAGCATGTATATACACTATTACAAATGCAATAAATGCCCAATTGTAGCCTCAGCTGTTTTTATTTTCTTGCAGCAAGAATAATTTAATTAGATTTTGTGAAGTATAGCTGTTTTTATAGTCAAGTTTTCTCAGTGTTCAATCAGTTAATTATAAATTATACTTATACCATATGCATTATCTTGTATAGGGCCTATTATAAAACTGAAAAAGCAATACTCATAAAGTGTTTTTATTTGAATAAAATGTCATAAGGAATATTAATCAGTAGAGCTAAATTTGAATTGTCTAGTTGTTTCAGTGTGTTTAGTCTGCTCTAATACTGATTCATTTGCATTCATGTGACAAAACTAGAAGTCAGCTTAGCAAATCATGAGGTTTTGAAAAATTGGTAAGGAGCTGTGCTTTGTTGTTGTTGTTGTTGTTGTTGGGCTTTATGGCATTTTTCAGCATACAATAGGCTATTCATAGCGGCCAGTATTAATGTGGAGGAAGAAACCGGGTAATCACAGGAAAGAACCACTGACCCACGAGAAGCTACTGGCAAGCTTTCTCACATATCTATATTAGCCAAATCCTAGACTCTAACACACGAATGAACACTTGCAGAGGTGAGATGGCAGTAATCTGTAACGGACAGCGTTTTATACCACTTGGCCACTGTGCTTTCAAAAGGGGGTTAATTTTCAGTGAAAATGACAATAGTAGTCTCACACCATCCTATTT